GCGGCGGTGGCGGTGGTGGCGGTCGCCGCAGCAGCAGCAGCAGCAGCAGCAGCAGCAGCAGCAGCAGTAGTGGAAGTAATAAAAGAAGATAACCGTCAGCATACTGATAGTAACAATGGTTGCAGTACTGCGAGAAGTATGTGGTTGCAGTGACAAAAGCAGATGATATTCGAAGTGACCAGCGCACAAGAAGACAAGCAGGCAGCAAACGCTTTGAAAATGCAAATGTAAGGTTTGCTTTACCGAACACACTGCATACCCACTCCCAGAATGCCATTCCCAATTGGCCTTTTGATCCAAGCCGAACTGCTTCTCTTTCCTGACAGATCTCTGCAAGTGTGGTCAAGTCAAAAAACCCTCAACTAGAAGCATATACAGTACTGATGTTGACCGCCTGCAAGAATAGGCTTGATTGCTGGCCTCAATGCAACACAGCGTGACAACGTCAACTAAGCCCACTGGCTTGCAGCTGATTCTCGGATCGATGCATGGCTGCAAGGCTTTTGTCGCGATGCGAAACCGTTGAAAATTCCTGAGTAACAGGTCTGGGCAATTCGACGATATGCATGGCGGACCGGCACATCGCCCACTCAAGGGCGAAGCTGTGAGGCCAAATTAGCACTTGATTGAGCTGTTTTCTCTGCTCTCAATGGTACAGGTAAAAAAGGAGGAGGAAATGCAGGTTCTCCGTGCGAATCAGCATCTTGATGTGGCCCGTGGCGTTGACGCCGAACCTAGGACACGAAGAGACATCTAGAGCTGGAAAGGTCTGAACATTGAAATTGTAAAAGCCTGAGCAGTGGAATTGCTTGCAGCTCCTTCAAAAGTGTAACAAGTTTCCCCCAGCCGGCAACAGAAATCCTGTCCAAATTTCAAGTATCAGATTAAGCTCCTGAGGAGCGCCTCGTCCCTTTTGTGCAGCCACGGGGCTGATGCTGCTGCACGGGCGAAAATCCAGCTGCGGTGTAAGGACCTCAAGCGGGCTACATAAGAATGGCAGGAATGCAACCACTGAGCGCTTTGGTGAGGATGATGCCATAATTCACGGTAGTTCCCGCGGGCTTGATACCGGCCACAATCCTTGGGACCATGCAACACTTGCACTTGTTAGGCCCAAATGCGCGAACCTTTGATAGCTTTCAGGGGCTTCTAGGTCCAAATTGAATCAAACACTAAAGATAAATATCTACATCAAAGTCAAACTTCTAACGGAATTCTGGCTAGAATCCACCATGGAGGCACCATGTGCGTGTGATTGTGGCGGTGGACCTGTCACAGCTTCGGTGACATCATCCAATGTTACATGCTTGTCAAACTCCATGTTTCCCTCACCAAGTGTGACCAAGTAGACCACTACCGTGACAAATCCTCAGTTGAAACCATGTCAATGGTGTGGCAGTCTCGGTGGCGCAGGGTATTCGATGGACCAACATGGAGGACTCGTGCCCTCTGCCGGCCGGCCTGCGGATTCCTGGGGCACGAGGAAAGGGTTTGCTAAAGTTGTTCAAAGAAAACAGTATGTGTGGAGCGTGATAGCAACAAGACCCAGCCACCCTACATGTGTGAGTTTGCTGGAATTACTCTCCTGGCAGGAATGCAGCGTGGGGACACGAATTCCCGCTGCCTAGTACGAACTGCAGTGTAAGGACGCATACTATATCGATTCAGGGAATTTCAGGGAGACATGCCAACAATCCACAGAAATCCTGTGCCCAAATCATGGAGGAAGGATAGCAGCGGGCCTGCAGTTTTGGTTGGAATCTCACCTTGACAATTGAAAAGCATGCATGAAAGCATGCCCAGGCTCGAGAAGGGCCATGCCTGCTGTGACGCAGGTGCTGGAGCAGCATGCGCAGCTTCCTCCTCACAGCCCTTGTGCTGCTCCTTGCCTGGGCTCAGCAAATGTCGCTGCGACTTGCTCTGAGCTCCTTTGAGTTGGCAAGGTACAGCAAAAGAGCTTCTTTTGCTCTGACCAGCCCATCTCGAAATTCTCAAGGCCGGCATCGCAGTCGTAGGACCCAGCATAGCCCTGGCAGCTTGCTCGTCACAGGCGACTCAAGCTTCAAGGGAAACAGTCACTGAATTACAAACTTTGCTAGTGCGTTCGTCTAGTCGTCATCTGACTTCTTCGCATCCGCCCTGCCGAGTCCTGTGTCATCTCAAGTATTCCCAAACGTACCTTATGTATCTCCCATTGATGATCACAAGGTAGGGTCCAGCAAATGACGTGCCAAGCGAACACCCAATTCTCACCGACCTCCAGTCTGCTTTCAACCAGGAGGGCCAGAGCGGCAACCAGGCCTTCCGAGGCTTTCAGAGCTGAAACGTACAAATGGGCACATCTTGTTCAGCAGACTGTCAGCGCCTTCTAGCTTTCTTTCAAACATAACCGGCCATCAACATAGCCAGAACTTGGAGCAATAATCGGAACCTTCATTGGGAGAACTAGTAAGCCCGATTTGCAACATTTTACAACCCACTCTCGTCTGTCCCCATCGGATAACCAACGTTACTCACACATCTTCCTGCGTGAGGCAACCGCTGCATTCCCAGCAGGCCTGAACGCATGACCTAGGCTGATGCAGTGTCTGCAACCCGACCCAACACCTGTCACGTAGCAGCCCATACTTCTATACTGAAGCTGTGGCTCAGCTGAGGCTTGGAATTGTCTACTTCGTACAGCAAATGAGGCCAAAAAGCAGCATGAAGCAGTGGATTCTTCCGTGTCCCATGTTACCGTGCGTGAGACGCCGCGCAACACCTTGATGGTAGGCTAGCAGATCCAAAACCCAACAACATGGAGTCCTGCTGCCGTCAAGTCGCCCAGCTTTGCCAAGGCTGGCTTTGGCCAAGGCTGCCCAGCAGCTCCAGGCAAGGCCAACACGGGTTTACGAAATCAGAGCTAACAAGAGTCTGCGTCATCTTCCGCACTGACAAATGGGTGGGCTTATGCGTTCCGCACCAGTACTTGCTAGGGCGTCAGTTAGGTGCTTCTGGCTTCGCTGCTAGCTGCTAGAAGTTTCAACACTGGCGCAAGGCCTTGATCCAGCGGCAATGGCCCAGAATGCAAAGCTTCACCAGAGCCACCAGACCATCTGGATCCAGATACTTGCCGAGAAAAGGCCTCTCTTCCATAATTATTGCCGAGAAAAGGGCTCTCTTGCATAATTACACCGCGCACGTTTACACTTGATCCAAGTGCAGCTGGAAAGGGCCTATCGAGCAATTCTAGCTGATGTCCCACCTCAGCCAGAGGCGGAGGCATTCATGAAGTCAATGCAGCGAAGACTCTCAGCGCGATGGTTTGTGGAGGTCACTTGAGAGCATATACTGGCGAATACCGTCTTGTTGCGGACAGCTGATCTCACTCAGTGCATTGCGTTCACACCGTTGATCATCAAGGAGAAGAGCTGGAAGGACTCTGTGTCACCCGGTGCATCTGCCTGCATGGAAGGCCAGGCTAGCAGCCAAGGCAGCAAGCTCCATGTTCGTGAACACGCCAAGCCCCAAAAAGGAACGGGCCCCGCATGCAGGATCCTGGGTCGTGATGTTTTTTTGCCTTGTGGTTGGGTTGGGGCCAACAACAACATGCAGCAGGACCCTCGGCCCACCAGTGTGACGAAAGGCGCGCGGTCACTGACGCTCAGGAACTTCCCGGACGCCGCGCGGAAGGCATACTGGGTGTCCTCACGTGTGCGGGAGAAGTTCCAGGGCACCGCTATCCAGGTGAAACAATACATCAGAGCAAGGGCTTGCAGACCAAGGTCCTGCTTGACGACGGAGAAGCGCTCAAAGGTGCTACAGTACCGGCGTGTGACTATCTGCCAAAGGGGTGAACATGTAGTCTTCGCGCTAGCATTCGAGGATCGACTAAGGTTTGTCTCAGCATTAGTTCCCCAAGCCTCATCCCCCTCTGCACTGAGGTAGTCTCCACCTGAAGAATCCACATCACGCCACGTGACAACTGCATGGTTCTCCCATGCTCTGGGTGAGCCCCTGGACTTCTTATCAAAAGCATTCGTCGAACAACAATCTCCAACGACATCAATCGGGTGCAACTCTGGCAAGTGACTATTCTGCATCAAACGTGAGCCTGGAGATTACGGGAGCTCAAGTCCTTGAGGTCATGCTTCAGGACGTGCGGTCTTGCGTGAAACCCGTATACCGCGAGATTGCACTCAGTTGTTCTTATTGGTAGCTCCCACGCGACATGCTCTCAGTCACCAGCTTATTGACTGGAACGCGATCTGATCGCCAAACCTGTCCATGCTGAGGCTTGCACAAGGAAATCATGATGAACATGATTGTGATCCTCTGCCCCGAATTCTAGAAAATCTTAACATGGCCCCCAACTTCTGGGGGCAGGCATGCAACGCTTGGGCTTTTTGCTGTAAGAACTACAAGTAGTCCCTCAGATGCTGGGAGTCATTCTGCATTTTCCTGCCCAAGACCCTCAAATGGCAGCTGGCATTCGAGTCGTGAGGAAGTCATTGCCATCCTCCGACACCTAGCAACAAGAGTCTGCATTCTATTTTCCAAGCCATCGTCCATTTGATTCTCCATGAGTCGCTTGTACAATGAAAAGCGCCTCTTCAGCTGTTGTCACGCCATCAGGCCCTAAGTCATCCAGAGCTTCTAGAGTAAAAGGAAACATTTCTCGCTCGAGATTGTCAAGGCTAAACCTCCTTTTCCTCTGTCTTGCTTGCAATTTCTAGTGGCACGTGACTGTTTCTGGGGTTTGTTCAAGCCTTTTCTACGCTGCATGTCTCCTCAGCAAGGCGGTCCAGTGACACACAGCTGCCGGACTCTACCTGACAACCAAGCTTGGGCTTCGACTGACGATAACATACATCCTTGGCTGTGGGCAACTGCGAGCACTCCAATCATGACACCCCTTGCAGTCTGCTTGTATCTTTCGACCCCAGGTTCGGCAGCACTGATGAGCGTAGTGCCACGATGCGATCGATCGCGATTTGCCCGCGCCTGTCATGCGGGGAACTCCAGACCACCGAGATGGTGAGGAATCCCGTGATAGCGAGTGCTCTGAACATGTGCCCGACACAAAGGTGGCCTGCCCATGTTGGGGAGCGCTGCGGCAGGCCCTCGCACGGAGGCTTTATGTTTCGCGGTCTGGGCTTGGGCTCAGGTTTCTCCTGCATGTTCGAAAGGTTCGGATATACGTTTATGTGTGACTACGTATGCTTACACAGTTCTGAATAAAGAATGCAAGATATTTTTGCTTATGACTTATGACAAATGATGTTTCCAATAACTCTATTTCGTGCCATCTCTACTCTGTGGGAATGAGGAGAAAAGAAAAGTGACAACACTTAGTAGCTAAAAGGACCGGCTAATCCTACATGTGAAGCTTTTGCATGGTCGTAGCAGATGACGGGAGACAGAAGAAGGAGGACAAAAAGAAGGGATAAGAGATAAAGGATGCCAAAGAAAAACGGAACGGACAAGAAGCAAAAAGGAAGGGAAGAAAAACAAAGTTGGAGCAGCAAAGCGAGTCAAGGTGTCAGCATCGGTCATCAAAATATTGAGGTTAATGTTGACCTCACATTAAGATTCCCTCATGAATTATAAAATCCCAACGCCAGAACACAATTATAACTGCAATCATAAAATCATCAAAAAATGTAACTTTTTTCGGTACAACGATTGTAATTGGATGTTAACAAGATAGCGATTTTCGAGCCCGAACAAGGTTTATAAGGTTTTCAGGGGCCAAAAGCAAGTTCCTAGTACTCGGCTGCACTACAAAACGACGATTTTGACGGATTTCCATCAGCCAGCCAGACATCTGGAAAGGTCATTTCTAGTACTACTGTTGTACTTCTAAAAGACGATTATCGGGTCCTTTCGGTTTCTCGCCCTGGTGGGAGGGTTTGAGCACCCAGAAGTACATTTAAGTCCATACCACGAAGAGACGATATTCAGGTCCAATCGGTTCCTGGAAGCCGGCCTGGCGTCGACACACTTCATTTCCAGCACTACACAAAACGACGACTTTCGGATCCGGTCGGTTCTGGACGGATGCCTGGAAGCCGGCTAGACGTCCGGACACTTCATTTCCAGTATCAAAGTTGCACTACAAAACCACCATTTTCGGGTCCGGCCAGCTCCCGGAATTCTAGCCCCACCATTTTTGCGAGGTTTTCGAGCAGACGGAATTCCAGCCCTATGGGATTTGTAAGGTTTTCGAGCAGCCGGATTTTCAGCCCCAGGGCATGTGCGAGCAGCTGGAATGCCAGCCCCATAAGATTTGTACACATTGAGGTGATCTTCGAGCGGCCGATCTGCGACCATTGCGAGCAGCCGGACAACGGCAGTAAAATTAACAACCCCGCAGAAGAATGTGGGCAATAGTAGTCTTGGTGATAAGAATAATAACAATGATAACAGTAATAAATACCATGCTTACAAAAATCACATGATACACATAATAGTAATGGTAAGAATAATAACAATAATGATAAACAGTAGTAGTGGTTTTCCTGTTCACGGCTCCTGCCTGGGGGGCCCTTGGCGCGATCCGTGACCCTAGCCTTCCTCTGGAGCCAGAAGTTTGGGCAGAACTGCACTGGTAGGGCAGATATGGGTTTTCCCAATTAGGGATACCCATTTCGGGGTTCCTATAATTTCAGGGTTCCTATAAAAAGATTAATGAGGGTAATAGATTGGGGTCCTCTTATTGAGAGAAACTACCCGTTTCAATTTGGAGCCACGTGTTTGAGTTCTTGCAGACATAGCACCTTGCAATCTTTTCTCGCTGGTCGCAGGGCATTCGCATCCCTGACCTTCTGCCATCTGCTGCCTATGCTTCCATATGCTAATCTTGTCCGACTGTGGCACTACTAGTCACTAGTCTTCCACAGGAAATGAGGCTGGCAGCAGTCAGAGAGACCGGATATTACCAAGCTCTTGTACAAGCCGTTTGAGCCCCTCATGCTTCCTCACACTCGAAAGTGGGGATGCAGTGGAACACTAATGCAGGCATGCCACTTTGGCTTCCTTTCCTCGGCCTCGAAACCTCGAAGTCGCGCAGTTGGAACCGCAGCCTATTGAGGAAGTGGTGGAAGGCTTCCGAAGCATGTCACAGATCGCGCAGCCCTTTCCTCCTCAGCAACACAGAGAGTGTCACCGACCGATGCAATTCCGAATCCCCACAGTACGGCTGATGGAATCAAAGCTGTTGAGATGCCTCAACTAAATGATTCTTTTGATCCGGAATTGCATGCTAGTGCCAAGGCCGCAGACTGGGAGTTTGTCACGGGTGGAAAAGCTTGGAGAAAGCCCCAAGGAGAAAACCCTTTCGGCCTTGGTCTAAGGCAAAGGCAAGCCAGGACTCACTGGATGCTTTCAGGCTTTCAGGACCCAGGATTGCCAGGAGTCTCCTCACCGTGTACAGCTCAATTCAAGATCCAGATGACGCTGCATCCTGAGGACTGGCTGGACATGACTGGCAGACTCGGAATCTTGAGGATCCATAATGCATGTCTAGACTGGCGAGTGTTGGGTCTGCGGTCTCCAGCCGTCTCCTGCGTGCTGCTCTCCATCGCTCCCAAAGCAGCGGGCACTGCCGGCGCCTGCCTCAGAAAGGAGACAAGATGCTGGCTGCCCTCGCAGCTCCCTCTCTCTCTGACAGGGATGTACCCAAATGCCAGGCCCGCTACGAAGCCGCCTTCTCTGGTGGAGCCTACCATTGGATGGCAGTCAATGGAAAACTCCTTGCTGAGCAGCATCTGCAGGATCAAGTCATGGTTGGCCTCTGCTGCCGGCACGGAACTTGTCTCCTGTGTCAAGAGTCACTGAGTTGGCAGTGCGACAGCCAGACTCACGGGACTGCTCTGGTAAACTATGAATTACTCCCAGCCTTGTCAGAAGGTGGCACTTCCTTCGTCGGTTCCGCAGGCCTGCTTATCCACACTACCACTATCTCACCAATGAACACTCCTCGGAGTCACGAACCCACATGCGGACATGAACACTGGAGACACGACAGTGCGAGTCGCCACAGTGCGAGCCCCAGTGTCGACAACTTTCACGACGAGAACGATCCGAGATTCAACAGCGACAACATCTACGAGGATGACGACTCCGAACTGCCGCGACCCCTGCAATTTCTGTATGTTGGACGTAAGGAGGCCACAGGGCCAAGTCACAGAGGCGCAGATCCTCCAATAGGCCCACACATGGTCGGTGGCGCTTGCCCGACGCACGCGACACGAAGTGAACAGGTTCAGGTCCACTTATTAAGACCTTCAGACCTCCACACTGAAAGCGAGAACCCCTCCGCTATACATTCCTGAAAAAAGTGTCCATCCGAGCCCGGCACTCTCTGGCAACAGGCGAAGCCTGGGACGCACGCGCTCTCGTCCATCCCAGGCAAAATTTGCAGTGTTGCGGCCTCGGGCGGCGCCTGGTCTGCTTGCGTTGGAGCTTCTGCGGGCCTCAATCTAGCCAAGTACACACCAAGCACAGACATGATTCACGTCGGCAAGATGTGGCAAGTGAGGTGAGGTCAAGTATCGAGGTTTGGGTTCAAACCGTGTAGAGTATACACAATTGTGCGGCATGGCTTCAGCTTGCGGCAGATAGCCCCGAAGCTCCAGCGGCAAGGTGGCAGCATCTGCCGAGCAAATGCAGCGTTTGTTCTGAGACTGGGGCGCTGTTTCGGCCAGGGCCTGGACAAGGCTGTCTCGCAGCACAGGACTGTCTGCAAACTGGAGGCAGCTGCCTTCATCTGAACAGCTGCAGGAGCTTCCGAAGGTGCAGCCGCCGGCACATCGGTAGACTTTGCTTCATCTGCCGGAGTTTCAGCGGCTGATTCTGCTGCCGGCGCCGGGACTTGGGCTGAAGGCGCTTCCACAGACACCACTGCTGTAGCATCCGGCGCTGCAGCTGAAGCTTCTGCAGCCGGCGCGTGTGGTAGCACTTCTGCAGGCGGCGCCGCCGCCGGCATAGCCGTTGGCGCATCTGCAGCTGGTGCATCTGCGGCTGACGCATCTGCAGCTGGCGCTGTCGCTTTAGCAGCTTCTGCTGACGGGGCTTCCGTGACGAGTTGTGCAGGTTGAGCTTCAATAGCAGCTTCTGCAGCGGGTGCACCGGCAGACCTCGAGACGGGAGCAACCAGACTTCCTGCACGACATTCTCTGACAAAAGCTAAGATTCCTGCACACCTGGGGCAGGCGCCTGCACTAGCTCAGCTAGATTTCAATGCAGAATTCCAATTGACCCGCGGTAACGTGCGGGAATTCTGAACCCAAAGATTGCCATCTAGTCAGAGAATAGCACACTTGCATGGCCACTGCATGGCCACTGCAGGCCACTGCTTTGGTGCAGGAGGTCTATGTGCAAGAATGCGAGTGCTTTCCGTTGGCTGGAGAAAGGGGACTGTGTGAACGCTAGACTGCCCCTCCCCCTGACTGGACCGAACGAACGGAGGATGATAGCAAGTGTGGTACAGAGTGTCGCGGGTGCTTTTTCACCAGGTTGGCCATGGCAAAGAACAGCAGCAAAGCCAGCGGTCCTCCGCAGACCCTTCCTGGGCCCCATCCACCCGTTTAACATCTGGCCTCATCACACATCATACGTTTTCAAGACCATGATGAGCATATGCGAGAGCCCCACTCTGCAGTTTGCTTTACCTCGGCCTGCAGAAAGGCTTCGGAGAGCAAGCAAAACCAAATGGGGCAACTTATTCTGCATGCCGAGCCAGACAAAAATCTCCAGCCTCCAGCGTGGTTTCTTCGGACTTCTCAGCTGGCCTCAATGTTGGCTGTACAAGCCGCTTGCGCGCAAAAAAGGAGAAGGAGGGAAGAATGTGCGTCACACGGGTAATCAGCTCAGGAACACACGGCACTGTGGCCTCGCTGGAGGGAACCTTGAAAACAATCAGCCGTGAAAAGATAATCTAAGAGAAGCACGCAGTGACAGCACGCCGGTCCTGGGAGGGTTCAGGCTCACCTGTCTTGTCCGAAGGCCTCAGCAAAGTGTGAACAGTGGAATAGATTTAACATCCCAGCGTGTAGTCTGCGTCCAGTGCATAAGGTGGCGCAAGCTCTCGCGCAGCCCATCCAGAGAAGGAGCGAGGCATGTTAATTCTGGGAATGGCTGCCTGCGTGACTCTTCTCTTCCTGCTATTGAGTGCCTGACACCGTTGCTTCTGCTTCAGCCTGCTTTAGGACTGAGCGTACGCGTTTATAAAAGAACCTCTTAGGACGCAACTGCGCAGGCCCAAAACCGACGTCATGTCAGAGCAAAGCGAAGCTGACAGAGAACTGATTATGAAATAGGGGTCTCCCAAAATGAGGGGTTACCTTTTGGGGGGGTTCCAATAACAGTATTGTAGTATTTGGGGGTCTAGAATGGTGTCCCCTTTTTTAGGGAAACTACCAAATGTTCCAGTCCACATTGCATGGGGATGAAAGCACGCTTGCGTTATCGGGCCTTGGCATCGCTTTCGCCATTGCCCAGGGCTTTCTGAGCAGGAGGAGCTTCTGCAGACCTTACTAGAGTGGAAACTACTATATCGGGGTTATACAGGGATAGTAGAAAAGAGAATGGAAACTATGTGTTACTACAACTTGCAAAGCTATGAACTGCTTGGCAGTACTTTCGGGAGACGAACATAAGTGGTGGATAGATTGTCCACCCTGTGAAATGCTCCACGGGTACGCTGCTTTCAGAGCCTGCCTAGAACCTCCATCATCTTCAGCAGGGCTGGCCTGGCGATATCTGTTTCCTCTGGGCACCGTGCTTTGCAGCATCTCCTGGTCCCTGCAAGACTCTGCAGTCAAGGGAGATTTTTAGGTCGGCCAAGCTGATCAGTCCATCTTCGAATCACAAGAATTGCAATCAGTGTCGCCTTTTCGGAACACAATGGCTTGTGCATTGGGCGCGCAGCACCAGCCCCATCAGGCTGGAGATAAGTCTCCAGAGCAGCTTCCTATGCGACTCATCCGGGAAGCTCCAACGCAGTGCCATATTGATGAGGGCCTCATTGCAAATGGAAGGAATTCCAGCTAAGACCACTTCTACAGGAACCCAGAAAATGGTCAGAACGCCTCTGTGTACAGAGATGCCCGAATGCATTCATGAAGCTGGTAAAACAAAACGCGGCGTCCCTTTACAGGCTTGCGCAGCAAATGCAATGCACGTGGAACCAAAAACGCGCTGGCTGTTGCTCTACATTGAGAGCAACGAGGGCTGCACATTCTCAGACTCGATCGTCATCCTTCAAGTGTGCCAAACTTTCAACTTGTTCGGTGATTTTGCGGCCAACCTCGCGAAAAGCTGCGCGATGGTACCAGAAGAGGAACAGCAGGATGGACACTGTGACCACAGCTGCTACTACAGTCATCAGAACGGTAACTCCTGGGTCCATGAGTGGGCACTGCCTGACATGCAGGCGCCCCACGACAATGCATATGAATATCGAAAGCATTCCCCAAAGGTTGAACTTGTTCACGATTTTCTGCGTGTGGTGGCGCTCAGTAGCATCAAGGTGGAAGGAAGCAGCGTGACCAAGCAAGTTGAGGAACATGAAGGAGATCGCAATCAAGAAGTACTCCTCTGGCCAGTTATGTCTACATGGCAAAGAAGAAATTAACTCAGAGCACTTCAAAATTCTAAAAAGGATTTGACTGAAGGGGCCGGTCCTCCATCCAACTTGTAGTTTGAGAGACTGGCAGCAAACCAATGACCTGATTCCGCAGATTTGTCAAGGACAACAAGGCTAGCATGGTTGTGGCCACGCGGGGCATGGTCAATTTCACACCCAAAGCGAAAGCGTTGAAGCCCATCAATCCGTAGATGACGGATGGCCACATGTAGGTTTTCAAGAGGGCGGCCCATTCTCTGGTTCCTTTCATCGCGCAGAGCATCGTTGCGCTGTTCTCCATGGTGCAGGTGAAATTTTCCCATTTGAAGTTCACCAAGCTTTTATTCACAAGCCAAGTACACTCTTGGACTGCACCAGTTGGGTCAACTCTGAGCTTGGTTGAGTCCTCGCCCACACATCCCAAAGCCAGACGGTAGAACGCGCTGGATGGGGCCTGCAAGGCAATCTTGAAGCGCATGATTTTGATGTCGAAGGGATAACATGCCAAGTCCTTGAATCAAGAGGGTCCTACCTGGAAACTTAGCTATCAGGAAAAAGCGAATGCTAGGGTGCCATCCAGAAGCGTACGGATAGAGCGACTGGGAGAACTCCCCTGCGTAGATCTTGTTCACGCTGAGCGCGGTCTGCGCGGCCACAGGATCCCAAAGCTTGACTTTTCCCAAGCTGTTGATATCACCAGAGCCAGAACCAAAGTTTACAACGTCCACCATCTGCTCAGGACGCTCCACAAGGGCCTCGGCCTCCTCAGTAAAGACCACATTCACGGACATCCTTCCACTGATGGACTTCTGTCTGTCGCTGAAGCCTAAGAAGATATCCCAGGAAGGGATGACGGTGATCGGGATACTGCCGTTAAGGGTCTCGTTGATCTCGAACCCTTCCGGCAAAGATTGTGCCCGACGACCGGAGGACAACAGGCTCTCAACATTCAAGTCCCCAGCCGCTACGCTGAGGAGGCAAAGAAGTCTGAAAGCCTTTGTCCGGGACATGAGCGGCAAAAGACACCGTCTGTAGGGTCAAGGACAGAGGCAACATATGAACCAGATACACCTGGCTACGGCGAGCGGCAGCTTGCAAGGCTGCATGGATGCTGCTGGCAATCTGCAAACAGCTGCTGTCCTTGACAAAAATCATGGTCTTGCCGTTAGATTTGGATGCATGACGGCTCATAAGAGCCATGGTCCAGACCCTGAGGCTCCATGAATGCCAGCAACTGCGCATGCGAACAGGCCTTCCCATCACCGCCTGGCAGCCAGCATCAGGCAAAATGATCCTACTGCATTTCAGATGCAGCCTGCTAGTGTCTTCTAAACTTCTTCCAACTCCTTTGTAGGGCCTCTCAACACTAAACCATGATAGGGTAGTTCGCAAGAGATAGGGGTGCTTTTTCGGGGGTTCCTCGTAAGGACTAATATATTTTGAATTCTATATTGGGGACTCCCGTTTAGGGAACCTCCCCTACTCTTTTCTTTTCTGCCTGTGGCATCCTCCGGCTTCTTCTTGCCCTGAGCCAGCCATGGACAGAGTCTCCATGCATGGGACATGTGTAAGGGTAATATTCAGTTAATATCAAGAATAATAGTAGTGATAGTAGGAATATAGACAACAATGCCAAATGCTAACAAGAATTGGTACATTTACTTGTACGTGTGCACAAATGAATATGTTCCTTTTCCAGAAGCGTCTGCATATGCCTACGTAACCCTAGACATGTGCATATGCGTATTTGTACATGCAAGTTTATCACCCAACAATTTACCGCTGCTTTGTATGTGAGGTTATACTACATGCCACACATACAAAGTACTCTTGTACCCATGTGCATGTTTGGCAATTGGGCAGAGCAGAGTTGTGGCGGCTTCCAGGAGGCCACCCTGAAGCCCGCACCTTTCCTCCTCTCCGCCGCTTCTTCGCAGCCTGGTCACCACCTAGGCAGCAAAAAGAGAGCTCTGCTAGGCTGAGTAGACACCTGGCCCATCCGCAGATTGTTTACATCTCAAAGTTCCCACAGAGCGTAGAGGCCAGCACCATTCGCAGCGGGTGCATCCTCCCCTCCTCAAAAGACGCTTTTGGTCCGACAGAGCAAGCACTTTCCTGTCTCCCGGCCTTTCTTGCCGGGACCCGGCCTTGGAAGTTGGAAGCTTGAGAGGGCAAAATGGCAAGTCACCAGTATTTTCAGCTCCGGCAAAAACACAAAGCTCCAGACTTTGAACCGTCGCTGCGGCGGATGTCCCGTGCTTGGGGCATGCCATCCTGAACGCAGGGAACTTTAGCGCAACTGGCTGAAAGCAAAGACTACGACCACGGCAAAGCAAAACCTGTCCCACAAAACCCTTTGGCAGCTTCCACAAGGATGGGGACCCCGGCATAGACCCCCAAATACTACAATCATTGTTTATGCAAACCCTTCATCTTTTAGAACCCCCTTCACCCTATGTGTTCCTGGTCCTATATACATATTCAAGCATTTACATACGTAGATATATAGAGAGAGAAATACTATCACTACAACTATAACAGTGCGATAATGTCTGGAACATTCCCACCTCCTCCCCTCTGCAACTGGCCTTGTTGGTGTCTAATATGAAGCTAAGCTCCTCGCCTCAGGCAACATCTAGGCTTCAGGGTTTAGGCTTTAGCGTTTAGGGTTCAGGGCTGCTTGCAACAGCCCTTCGCACCTTTGTTGTGCAAGCCACTGACTAAGGGAGCATGCTTTGGCTGAGCTTATTCTAGCGACGCGTACCTCGTAGCTACCTCGCGGTGTCAGAGTGTCGCACTCGACGCTTTGCACATGAATTCAGGGTTCAGGGTTACGGTTGGTAGCTATCCCAATTAAGTCCTGTATAGACCCAGTGTCCATTTCATTTCGCATGTTCTTGTCCACTTGATTCTCCATGATTTGGGTCTATGGGTTCTGTTCTTGCTCGGATCAACACCTTCCTACAGCATGCATGCATTGATGTCCGTCCACCAAGGCATGCACCAACCTCCAAGTCACCTATTTGCGCCTGCCACGGAAGCGCAAAAGTAGCGGATCAACGCTGCGGTATGGTGGTTGTAACTCTTTGCGCAAAGCCCTGCTGCACCTTGTGGACGAAAACATCCCTGCTAAAGCGATGCCGCACCTCAGGTGTCAAATCCAATCTTAGAGAGCACCCATTAGGATGCTTGTGTTCTTATCCACGCCAGGTTCTTCGTTCTATGCTGCAAGCGACCTACACAAACACCTAGCAGCCCTTGCAACCTCTCGCTTGCACCTGCGGGCAGTCGATGAAACCGAAGCCGTGCCTCATGGGTCAGCCCAGGAAAACACGGACTGCCGAACACGAAGCCCAGGACGCATGGACCGAGTCCCCAACTTCGGATTGAAGGACTTGAGAGTCCCAGTTTGACGCCCAGAGGCGCCACCGGAGCCCTGGCGTTAGGCTGCTTGTGTCATCGCAGCTGCGACTGCAAAGAATTGAAAAGGCTGCAGTGGATACCAAATGTGCTTCAACCCAAGCATATTAGCCACAAAAACTTAATCTTCGAGCATCTTAGTTGTGACACTGCAATAAAGTCTGGGCGCACCCCTGGAGGACCATATCCCGGTGATGGCCCTGAAGGCGGGCCGTAGGGTGGAGGGTAGGCGCCGGGGGGTCCATAGCCAGGAGGGGGATAGCCGTACGGTGGAGGTCCGTAGCCAGGCGGAGGACCATAGCCAGGAGGGGGGCCGTATCCTGGCGGCGGTCCATAGCCGGGTGGTGGACCATAGGAGCCATAGCCCGGAGGAGGCCCGTAGCCGCCATAGGCTGGCGGCGGGCCATAGCCAGACTGCCGGTCGTACTCGGGCGGGTAATCCTGAAGGTTTTTGCAGCATGTGGGAGCAGGAGATTCTTAAGAAGGACATGCTTGCGCATGCTCGCGCGCGCGTCCTCCGCTCGATGGTGACGCGCCTCCTCTGCACGTGCGACACTCTTTGCGTCGATTTGCATGAAATTCAGCAATACGTTACTGAGCTTGTTAACAAGTCAGAAACAGCAGCAGCCTCCTGACCAGTTATCACCTACATCATCCCCAGGCCAACCTCTCGCGGGGCCCGCCGCCGGCTGCGGCTGCGGCTCCTCCGCGGCGCTGCGCGGCCCTTGGGCATATCTTGACAAACCCCTTCAGAAGAGGCTGGACCATTTACTATATTTGGATAGTTTCATGGGCGACTGGGGTGCTACTGCACATGAATGGACAAAAGCGGCCACCTGAAATTGTCAACACACGACGGTCTGCTTGCTTCAATGGGTCTGCAAGACTCAAAACCCTTGCAAACCTTGTCCACGATTAGACATGTGCGCGGCACTTCTTAGTTCAACGGGCCCCAAACACAGGATTCAGCCGCCGGCAGAGCTTTGCGGGGACTGCGGCAATCCGACAAAGATGTTGTCGGGATCTGGATAGAGCATCTTCACCTTGACAATACATGATGCTGCTCTTCTGCCGAGGCAACAGTAATCGTAGCAGTGGCAGCAGAAGAAGCAGGCAATCCGGTGGAAGGAAATATCAAGAGTAGTGATAGTAATGGTTGATGTCTAGCACTGGTAGGAAGGAGAAGGGATCAGGCAGGAAACAAATGAAGCGAAACATGCGTGAGTCATGTGTTGGGTGCATTTGAATTCCTACAAAACCATGTGGCCACGTTGTTTTTGAGGGGCCTCTGCTTCAAAAACTTCATTGCAAGGCGTTCCGAGCCAGCGCATGAACCGGTACACTTGGTGCACAGGTTTGCTGCCGCAAACGACGAGGTAAGTATGATCAGTTACCATCATGAGTGATCTAAGCATATGAACTAGGTCCATAAAAAAACACCTAAACTAAAATTTACGCACAGCATTATCGCTGAAAACTCTGGTAACGTGGAAAGCACAGCACCTTCCGGCGCTTCTGGAGTTCCAACCCGTGCCTCAACACCTGCAGCCCAAAAACACCTAAATCCCTGCTACCTTAAGGCCTAAGCCCCTGCGGTTGATGAGGATGATTTCGGTGAGGATGAAGCAATTGCCCGTGCTAAGGGCCCCTCCTGCGTATAGCCGTCATACTATTACTAGTAGACAAGGAGGAGGAGCACAAGTGGCAGCAGCGATGATAGCAGTAGACCTGTAACGTTAGTTTATCGATGCAACAAACTGACACAAGAGTCTGTCAGATCTGACATGCATCTGTTGAGTTGCACAGCTGGAGTCATCAAACTATGGAAAGAGTAGCTAATATATGTACCCAGAAGCATGCAACAGACAGGTCTGGCAGTCTTACAATCACGGCTGAACCGTCTTCGAGAGGTCTGAGAGCCAAGCTGCCACGTGCGACTGGCAGGTCGGAACAAGATTTGTGCTCCACTCTCTGAACTCTCATTGCTCCCACAGACTTCGCCAGCATATGCGTGGCTGCGCATGTGGAGGCCAGATTCTGAAGGCACATGGATGGCCTCGGGTGGCCAGTCACCAAGACGGACCAGGAGCCTGCACAGCGCACTTCAGTCTCACAAGCCAGTGTACCCCTAACAAAGCCACAAAACTGCGAATTAGGCTAAGATGCTCATCGCCGATGGGGAAGAAGCCCTGTGAAAACCAGGAACGCCTGCGCGTCACACAGACAAGCAGCAGCAGAATTGTCAATCAACTCTGCAGCTTGAGAATGTCATTCCTGCTGCCGGGTAGCATCTTCGATGTTCTAAATGGACCAAACTCCTGGCCAGTCCGATCCACATAATACCTTGCGAGCAATGAGCGCTTGCATTGACGTCGCTTGGCATCTACGCCTGTATTCAGATATGCCCAGATTCCATGCCTACTGAGATCCTGGCCATTGTAATCGATCTGGATCTCCCATGGCCCACTGCGCTTGGTGCGGCCCCTTTGGCCGCAGAAGCGGAGTTTGCTTCAGACCACGGCTGACGTGACTGTATCGCTTGTGGTTTAGGTATGGAGTGCAACCGCTCCGCAACCCACCAGGCCCCACACCGATACCACTTCAGCCTGTGAACCATTTACCTGCTACCACGCGGTTGGAATTCCGGACTTTTGTACATGATGTCGAAGCCTCATAGCGCTTCCACATTTTGAGCCATCCCCTGATAGGAGGCGAGGCTACTTCGATAGCTTCCGAACATTACAAGCTCATAGCAGCTGCGCCACAATACCATGGAACGTACTCATTACTCGTTGACCATTACAAGTATGGTAGCAGAAACGGACCTTTTCCCTCGCTGCAGCTGTACTGCATGCTCCTATGGCTCGCCAGCCAGCCAACGCACCCAAAGGGCAGGCAAAATTCACTTGGACAGCCAGGATCCACATGATCCTTCGCGCAGGCTTTTGAGGAAGCATGAACCACTGAATAGCCTGTGAACTTAGCTTTTTAAGTCGCGCAGGCTCCAGCACACAGCGGTTCGGACCGGTGTGTCTGATCCAACTCTCTGGTAACCTGCGTCTCGCGTTTCCTGTCGGGGTGCCTTGCCTGGGAGGCCTTGCCAATCCCGATCCAAACTGTTTTGTTGACCAGAGATGAGTCTCTCCCCTCCAACATGCCCAAATTCAACATGACTCCATACCTCCAGGGCTCCTTAAAAGTAGCATGCCACTGGAGAAGATAGGGGGCTTGTATGATCTCGGATCATCAGCGGCATCTGGGTACCCACCAATTGTGGGATCTACGTGGATGTACAATGCACCCGCACTCCTGTCTTCCGACCTTCTGAACGGTTCCCAGATGCCAAATGCTACAGTGTGAATCCCACCAGCCTATGTGCAGCTAAATAACGGCGTATCTCGAAGCCAGGAACACCTGCCTGGTGTCCACTCCTCATAGATAGGTATTTTTTGCTAGCTGAAACTGTAGGACGATTGCTGCGTTCCTGGTTTTGAGACTGGCCGAAAAAGATACGCTCCGGGTACTTCAATGGACTTGAGCTGGCTTTCATGAAGCTGCAAGCAGCTTCGGAGCTGCTCACAGTCAGCAGATTTCTAGGCACATCGAGTGAGCTAGAAGATGTCCGCTTGGAACCTGAAAGGTAATGTCGAAAATCTGTGTAATTCGTTGTTAAAGGAATCTGCAACTGCAGCCCTGAACAAGTCCAGTGAAGGTTTGGGCTGCTGCCAGAAGTTTCAGCCCTTGCTAGGCATTGCACCAATCTGCAAGTATCTAGTGTCTATTCACAAGAATGTGAGGGCAAATGCAATCGTGCAGCAGTTGTGCAACGATCAGAGCTCGTCTTCAGGCATCGTCGACATGCAGCTCTGTCAGCCGAACATGTCCATCTCAGATGCAGGCAGTCTAGCTTGCAAATCAATGCAGGGAGAGTTTTGCATGCATCCAACATCCTTCCCCAGCTCCAGTTGCTCGCCAGTACCCCTTCTAGATCCCGTACTCCACCACTCCTCTGGGTAAGCGGATGCCTCAGCCACCTGGGGCCCCGGCATCATCAGCTGCCTTTGCTGACGAGTTCCCTTTGACCACGCCTCGCACATGTAGGACAAAAGTGAGGACATCACGCATCATGCACGCATCATGCACTATTAAGCACTATGCTAGGAAGACTTTCAGAAAGCGATCCCTGACCCTCCCTGACCCGACAGCAGAAGACGGCCTGCATCCAAGGTGGCAGCTGCCGCCACGTGGCCCTGGCCATGGCCTTCGATTCTCACGCACAGATTTGCAAGGATTTGCATTTGGGATATATTTGGGATATATTATGACCCCAACATATACCCCATTATCTACCCTATTGTATTCTAGTAGTTTCCATTTTATTTTCCATCATCCCTATATTACCATGACTTTGGATTCTTCTGGAAACCCTGTGAAACTCACACTACAGTCTACAGCCACGATCAACTCCGCAGTCGCGGCTTTTTGTGGCCAACATTTCAGGCCCTTTGCGCTCGCATGCGATGCGCTGGCTTGAAGAGGTTATCAAAGACACTCCGAGCCCAGCCATTCCAGCAATCATTGGATGCTCCACTCGGTGTGAGTGAAGCACCTTGGAATTTGGGAAAGAGAATTCACAAGAGCTGTCCGAAAGACGGGAAACGGGCTGGCGAGGAGTGGCTTTAAACCCAAAGTGGTGAGACTGGGCTTGCAATTGCTGCAGTAGTTCGCAATCTATCAAAAAATCTTGTGCAAACCGCACCCGGTGGAGAATGCGCAGAGTCGCAAGGTGGTGATTCTACTGCTGTTTGCAGGCCTGCCGTGGTTGGCATGCTTGCTCAGATACAGCTCCATTGCTACATGAACTTCCAAGACGCTGTAGCATCCTTAATGCTTCTTGCAAAATTCCACACAAGCAGAAAACACACACCCCGGTTCATGATTTGCCAGGCTTGTGCAACCGTCAGATCAATCACTAGAGCATCATGCCCAAACTGGTCGTCGGAACCCCTTGGATTCACCGAACAATGCAAATTTTGGTACAGCTGCCCATGCTGTCCCGGTGAAAAAGTCAACTCCTGTATGAACCCTCACAACAGACAGCCCGACCTACGATCTTGGAAGGGTTCTGAGCGCATCCAAGACATGGTGGACCCTCATCACCCCCTTCCCCCACCTTTCCCTCTGAATCAAGAGCCCTGCCCTGCAATGCCCTGCACGTTTTCTCAGCACACTGGGGCAATTCCCTGATGGCGCCACGGCCTGTCTTGCCCACGTACTTCGGAACACTCTTGTCAGCCCAACCTACACGTGAGGGAAGTTGCTCCAGGTCAGCAAGGTGTTTGCAGGCATGGCTTTGGGCTTCTGGCTGCAAAAGGATCTTGGCTAGCAGCATCTAACATAAGGCGCTTCTCCTAACTCACTCAAGCATGCTGAACGTGGAATGAGGAGCACAGGCTACTGCGCTTGAGCTTGCGGGAGTGAAGTGTCGAAGCGCTGACAGGCCGGAGTGCTACTCGTAGAGTACTTTACCGACAAATCAAGCCATACTCAATCAAATAGCAAGCACTAATGCATGTTATCTATCAAAACCCGTAGCTTCTGCAGTATCCTCACTTGGTTGGCCCACTATGCGTAGCACTCAGACACTGGACACGTACCTAGACGAAACAAGTCTGAACCCTGAAGGATCTCAGCTGGTCCCACCAAATTGCACCACCAAGACGGTCAGGTTGTCCTCGCTGCCGCCTTCACAAGCAAAGACGCTGTACAGTGTAAGCACGCTCTGAAGTAGTTGGGATCTTTCTCTGTGGGCATGGGACATGTATGAGCTACTGAGGGAAGCTGTGGCTTTTCAGGGGAGCAGCACATGTTAGGTGCTACATCCTCATGCATTTCAAATACGGTCCTACGTCTAGATTCCTTGCCATTGCCTCCAACCCACAACCCAAATAGAACAGTTTGGACATGTGCTTACAGGTTACGGCCAACGTTCCAATGGTCCAATGGTTGGACGTCTGGTGGGCATTAAGCTCAAGGCCTATCAAAACTAGCAGGCAGTGAGGCGCCGCGAGTGCTTCCATGCAAAACTTGCAGTACCGATCAGTTCAGGAGCTCTCTGGCTATCGCAAAGCTGCTGTCCCAGCTTACTCCCTGAACCCGCTATCCCTCTTATCTTCAGCACCAAGAGCTCTCTGGCAGAATTTGAAGCACTGCTACAATGAGGCTCAGCTCCCCCACGTTTGTAGGCTGATCGGACAATGTTCTTTGCGGCTTCTTCCGGCTCTCGCCAGTGCCTCATGCAAGGGCAAGCATCTAAGCACTTGTCACATCTGCAGCCTCTTGGGGTAATCCTCTATCACAGCTTGTGAAGGGATGGCTTCTACTTGTACCATACCGTCACTTGTCACTGACATGGGCAGGGAAGGAGTGCAGATGTTCATCTAGCCGCTGTTATGTGCCAGCACTAAATAAAGCCTAGAGCTTGAACAGAAACATGGTCGCGGGAACTTGCTTGCTGAAGTTCCCACAGCTAAACATCCTATTTCAGGTCCGCTTTGCAAGCTCTCCGCCGAGCTCAAAGCTTGAGCCATCAGCAATTTGACAGAGCTTGCCTACATCATCAACCTTGTGCATTCCTGCTGTAATGTTTGATATATCTTCAGCATGTAAACGGCAGGTCGGGAAATGCGTGACTTCCTCACCACCCACCTCGCAGCCAGGTCGATAACTTCCTGAAGCAAAGGAGCCAAAACTACCACCTCACTGGGTACAAACTCAGAGAGTGGCTGCAACCTGCGTGGTTGTACATTAGCTTGGAGGACTCTAATTGAGCACCTGTCCTTGGTTCCTTGTTGCTTCAAGAACACTGAAAAACGGGACAAGAAGATGCCCTGCTCCGCGAACCTGGTTGCTGAGGACGTCGTAGACACCATCCGTCGCCAATACTATGAACAGGTCCTAGCCAAGAGAACGGAATGATCTGAGCTATAACCACATTTCCTGATAGGAAACCCAAAAAGGCTGGTCAGCCGCCTGCTATGAGCGTGAACAATATCCAGCCTATGGTCACGTCAAACTCCTGTAATGCATTAAAGACAACCTATCAAAACATAAGAGGGTGAGCTCCTTGTCCGACAGGGGGACGATCCGGACTTCGGGTTCCGCGATTGCCAATCCAATTGGCCGCTTGAAATGCCTGAGCTGAGATCCGCTGCTCATTGTAGGGGATAGTGAAAGATCAAATGGAACCTATACTGTTTTATACTATTTTTATATAGTAGTTTCCATTTTCTTTTCCATTATCCCAATGTAACCCCTATACAACCCCTATATAAGTAAATGGGGTAAACTCAGGCCACAGAAGCGAACGAAATCTGATAGTAGGAGTGGATGCGGGCATGCTTAAGCACATATGCGATTGACAAGTGTAGTCCTTGTAGACACTGCATGTAGAGAGTCTCTGCGCGCATGGACTTATACTGTCCATAAGTTATAGCTATAGACAATATAAACCCACTCGCGCAGAGACTCTCCACGTGTAGTATACAGATTTGGTAGTTTCCCAAAGTAGGGGGACTACAATATAGACCCCAATACACTAGAATCCTTATTATACGGACCCCCAACAAAATACCCCTAATTTTGGGAAACCCCATTTCGGATGTTACTAAGAGGAAGCTTCGGGCTTCCTTAGTAAGCCCCTGGCAGGTCCCCGAAAGAGCGTGTCATGGCCAGGCCCTGGGGTTTGGAATCAAAAACCATGGCTGTTTAGGGTTTAGGGNNTTAGGGATTTAGGGTTTAGAGTACCAGCAAAACAGCTGAAATGAGGTCCTGGATCACGTCCCCTCTCTTTGGGCCAAGGGCTAGGCATACCTATACTTGGCCAGTACTCGACCCAGGGCTCCTTCTCCTCTACCTCATCTGCTGAGAGATTTACAATTCTAACCTGCGAAAATGAAGGATTTGGAACTGCCAAAGCCCAAGCAGATGCAAGTTCTGCCGGCGCGACCTGGTATTCTCTCCTGGCTGCCTGCATTTTCCAAGCGCACAGCAGACAACGTCTAATTGATATATCTACATCACGGCTCTGCTCAGTTCCTTGCCGTGGATTCATGAATCGACACTGCATCTTGGAACTCATCAGGAAGCACTGTGGGTGAGTTTGAGCAGCCATGTGTGGAGGCCCGGCTTGCATCTGCGAACACTCCACAACGGAAGGCCTTGTTCATTGAGTTGGGGTTCGTCGAGGTGGCAACACGCCACGCACCACGAACCTTAGCTTTGATGCTGTCTAGTACGACCTTGTTTGCCCACATCAGGGCTGCCCGCATTAAAGCCCATATCTTTCATGCAGAAAGAATAGCATTCCCGGTGTTTTTTGCGGTATCTAGCAGCATTTTGCGGTAAAAGCTGGCCTGCAAAACGAGACCACCCACTCGCTCGATGCGCTTCTTCCTGCCATGGAGCAACTTGTGGAAGGCAGACGGCAGTTGCACACATCTGCGACCCAAACACGGCATCTACAGTCAGACGGGCTGAACCCAAGCTGGAGTGACTCATCAATTCGAGTCGGCCGATGATCGTCCGAAGCTGGCACAGCCTACACAGCAAGCAGCTTGCTTTGAATTCGCCTTGCATCGAATACCTGCAAAAGCTAACGGCAGACGGCAGCCCCTACACCAGGATGTCCCCAGGCCACAACAAGCTGACATGTAGGTGAAGCACACAGAATGCAAAGGCCTGCCCTGCGCGGCCTTGCAATGGCATGCTGGTCAGCTACAGCGACTAAAGCTCAAGCGGAAGGGGCATCTGCATGCATCTGCTGAAGCATGTTGAAGCATGCTGCAGAGAGTCTGCGTTCGAAATGCTCAAGGTATGGAATTGGAGTGGGCTTCGTAAACTTTGCACTGGCAAACAGCAAACAAGGCCCCCAGCAAAGCACGGCCCGCGAGTCTCCAAGGTTGGACACCACCTGAAAAGTTGCTTCCACTACCTTGAGAAAAACTGATGTGAAAGTCCAGCTGCAAACCTGAAATGTTCATGTATTATCACACATTCAGAACTACAAATGGCAGGCAATCTACTCCTGCATGTCAACCTACAGCACTGCTCCCATCTTTCACGGTCTAATCTTGCCAGGATGACCAGTCGCAAGGCTGTGCCCAACTTCCTGGACAAACTTGCTTACGCGGCTGCTCAAACGATCAGTCCCCCTGCAGTCTTGGGCAAAAATGTGCGGCAATAAATCTGCAACCGAGCATCGGATTGCCGTGGAGGATCACGGAAACCTGAAGCATGTTGACATTTTTGAGCGGAAACATCCCGACTCGAGTGCCCGACACAGGTGGAGCCAACAAGCTCGAACCTGAGTTGGGTGGATTCAAAACTGCATGCGATGGCTGATTAAACTGCAGCCTTTCAGCACACATCTCAGCTACTGACTTCTTGCGCTCCGCCAAAGCCAAGATTTCTTTGTCTGTTTGGAGGAAAGCCTCAAAGCAGCTGGAATGCTGCGGTCTTGCACGGCCTGTAGAGATCTTGCAAAGCATCGCTTGACGAATCCTGCCTCTTTAATCGCTAGTTTGATCTTTTCGTCCCGAGACGCAGGCTGCACCTGGCCACGAATTGCAGCCATGCAAAGCTCTTCACTAGGTCCCGTGACACAGGTTGTACTTCACCAAAGTGCCACACAGCTCGATCGCCTGCTTCTGCCTCATTTGCTGAAGAACATTCCTGAGTGGCAGTGCGCGCACACAAGTGGTGCTTGTGCTGCTGCAGCCTGTCGCTGCGAATGTTTGATGAGCCAAGCTGATCTGCGGGCCCGCACTTATGCAGCTTCTCCTTGACCATGTCCGCCACCTTCCGTGACAGCCAAACTCTTCCTTTTCTCTAATTCTCCAGAAAAAGAGGAATTTTGCCAATCTCATCGGCCTGCGTTCCACCATGACCGTCCAGAACGGCAAAGTACACGCCCAGCTCCTAGCAAAAAGTTGCTCTGAACGTAGACTCTGAACATAGATGCCTGACATTGAATCACTCGGCAAAATGCTCAAAAATGGTTGGCGCTTGCTTCTCTGCACCAGCAGCAGCAGCAGCAGCAGCACCACCACCACCACCATCAACAACAACAACAACAACCACAACAACTATGACGACTTGGACGCCAACGCCACCTCCAACAGCAGTACCACGCACCACCACCAAGACATGTGCAGTTCCTGTTGCAGGCACTGCGAGCATGGGAAGCTCAGTCGAACAGTCAAAGCACATCTTAGTGCCCTCTTCTAAGCCAGGGTGGCCTCGAGCGGCTCGTCCAGAACATATCGGTCCTGTGAAATGAATGCCGCAAGGCCTGGGAGGGATGGGAGGGCTACGGGGTCGTCATGACGACCCTGTGAACTCAGTGAACTCTGGATCTTGATCTTAAAAAGCTCCAAATTGAAGACGGTCCTGGAGGGTCTTCTTGAGCCCAGGCCTGGTCGAACACGACACTCAGCGAGCCCCGTTAGAGTGAGACCGAACCCACGGCGCACCAGCTTTCGCAGTGAACGCGAAGACCAAGTGACTCCGCCGAGACGTGGTAGCTCTTCTTCTTCTCCTCTGCCAGAAAAAACAACCATACTCGGGTCTGAGCCTCTGGTAGCCCGACTTAGGGAGGGTTTGACTGATTAACTGTGCAACCCATGCAAAACACAGTGAGTGAAGGTTGAAAATCGTTCTCCAGCCCATCAGCTTCCGTCTTCCCAACGGGAAGCTCCTCCAGCGTCTGGGCACCAGCGTGAATGGGAAGCGGCTTGCCATCCGCACCTTGGCTGTGCATACTCACATGAGAGAGGCACTGGCAGGCAAGGGACCGCAAGTAAAAAGGGGGGAGAGAATGCCGAGAGAGCCAGAAAGAAACACCCCATGGCAAACACGCTGCACCAATGCTCGAATTGACGATCCTGCTCCCGCCCTTGCTATTCCCATGCTGCCTTATCAGATCTCACTTCTAAACCGAGGGTGCCACCCAACATCAACACCTCTAGCGCACAGGGCTTGCTGTCCTGTGTACCTTGCTTGAAGCTGACCTGCGACACGGGACTCTGTATCACTGCTGCACATGCTGGAAGATAACCAAGTTGGGCCTTGACGCCCTCCTTCAGATTGATGGGATTGGTCGGAGTGCTGCCGACAATGAACTTCCGGTGGACAAAGAGGCCTTTCAGAGGTATTAGGTAATCGACGCAAAGCCGCATTCAGGCCATAGGGAGCCTTTGCCGACTTCTCCGCCCTCCTCCTTCCCGGCCGGCATGATGAAGCCGAAGCCCTGAGGTCACAAGGAGTCGGGCTTGGTACAGCGAGGTTCACAAATCTGAAGCACCAGAACTTGCAACAACCCTTTGTGACAGGCCTTCTCCGAGTCCCATTTGTTGACCCGCCCTTCCATTCTTTCCTGTTTGAGACGTTTGTAATGGCACGGGCTTCTCGATGACACAGCGCCAGGATCCCTTAAATAACCAGCGGCTGATTGCCATAAGCACCTGCCTTCCCTGTAAACCTGTGCATTCTATGCTTGAGCCTGCCTCCTTCTCCGGCGCCTTCGGCACAGGTGCGGGCTCTTCAACACGAGGGCCATCTTCCGCCTGCGAGAGATGGCTTCCAAACTTCGCAAGGCTCACGGCTTAGGGTTTACAGAAACGTGATGTCACAGGCTGTGCTGTCATCATTGTCTTTTCATTGTGATGCAAATAAGCATGCCGCTGTACCTGAGCTCCCTCCACTTCGAACTTGACGAATTCGGTCTTAGAGATGGCTTTTCTCATCTCTTCAGACCTTGTTCAGCACGCAGCCCCTGAAATCATGAGTACCAACAGCAGCCAGCGTCATGCTAGCGGCTTCTGCGGTCATGATTCGCCACCATAAGCAGAATTCACTGTGTGCCAATTCTACGTGACCCGTCTACATTACCAGTTTGTCCATCACGCTCTCCTTGAGTGCTCCAAAAAACAAATCAAACAAAGCAAGGTGCTGCTTCATCTTTTTCACCAAAGGATCCTGAGCTGAGCAGTGGTGCTGATGGTCTTGCATGCATGCAGAGAGTTTAGCTACTAGTGATGCAGCCACCCAGCTGCTGGTTGCTTGATAGGTTCTTGCCGTACTGATGAAACACTCATGTACCTGAACAAGATGGATCTGACTTTCCTGACTCTGAGACATAGACGTCATCGTCGTCGATCCTTCTGAAGAAGCGATTATCACTTTCCTTGGGCGTGTAGTACACCTGGCTGCTGTCTGTCTGGAACAACCAGCTGCTAGAATCCAGCCTGCGGCCAATCTAATTCCCAGGCACAGCCTCAAATCAAAACACTCCGCCCAAGAGCACCTGCGTTTTCAAGTGGAAGTAAAGGCCCGTTTCCGGGTGAAACTTCCACTTTCCAGTCTTTTTGTAGACCTTGGCCAACGGCTTCGTCGATTAGGTTTCCCATTCGCATGACAAACGCTTGCTGGAACAATCCATAGGGGTCATGCATCTTCCGCGACTTTTTTTGTGTTCCAGCCCGCAGGTCTAGTCTAGTTGTGGAGACACTCAGTCACGAGACCAACTCGCGATGCCCCCACAATAAGCATGGCTAAGCAGCAATCCCTTCAGTCATGCATCAGGAACCGCCCTGATGAGGCCGTTGGGAAGGAAAAGAACATCGTACGTGATCTTGACCTGAAGTGCGTGGCATCCAAAAGGAAAGTGCTTGACACTTCAGACTTGGCAAACCAAGACTTTGAGGGCCCTGCCACGCTCGCAACAGCGAGAAGCTTAAAGGCCTGTGCTGAAAGGGAATGAAAGGGAACACCAAAGGGTCCCGAATGCGGCTGACATCATCCAACCTCTAGGATGAAGCCACCGGGCCCTACGAAGAAGTCGATAATGTCAGCTGCCTCAGTGTTTTTTTCCAGAGTTCTTGCAGCTGATGTCGTGATTTCAACCATCATGAGCCAAGATGCCACTTTGGTGCGGACCAACCCAGCACCTTGCAGAGATGAGGCCTCAGCCCACGAGGCCAGAAGTGCTCTCACTAAAAGAGGCCAGGACCAAGAAATGCATCACCCTAATGCTGAAGGGCTCCGCTGTCTGCAGCCCAGTCTAGCAACATCTGCAACAGCATTGACATGAGCGGTTTGGGCTCCCACCCTAATGGCCAGTACACCTGGGTTCTTTCGTACAACAGCAGCTGCCCCCTCCTGGTGCGGGTATAGGCGAGGGGAATGACTCAATTACTAGCTCAATCATGCTGAGGACCTTCGTCTGCCATCCATTCTACAACGTTCAAGCTTCCCAAAGAACTATCAAGGATTTCAGGCTCCGAATGAGGTAGACCCACGAATCAGCTCAAATGTAACGGATCAGTACGTGGTGCGAGCTGGATCAAGGGCGCCCGACGTATCGGATCAGGACAGGGTAGAATCGGATCACACGAATCGGATCAGTAAGCCGGATCAGCTCCACGGGTCACACGAAGTGGATCAGCGAACAGGAGCAGGTATGACGAGAGGGTCGCCG